ATAGGATCTTGCAATCATAATCCTTAAGTAATTCCATCCATCTCCTTTGGCGCATATTAAGTTCTTTCTACATGAATAAATACTTCAAACTCTTATAGTCTATGTGAATCTCGAAACTTTCACCATATAGATAATGTCGCCAGATCTTTAAGATAAAAATTATGGCGGCTAGTTCAAAGTCATGAGTAAGATAGTTCTGCTTATGATTCTTTAATTTTCTGAAACCATAAGCTATCATTTTTTGTATTGCATTAGCACGCATCCCAACCCTTACTTTAAAGCATCACTGTAGATAGAGAATCTACCAGTACCATTAGGAATAGCCAATATTGGAGCTGTTGTCAACCGTTTCTTTAGTTCTTGAAAGCTTTGTTCACACATATCATTCCACTCAAACTTTGTATCCTTTTTAGTGAGCTGAGTTAATGGAGTAACAATCTTTGAAAAATTTTCAATAAACTTCCTGTAGTATCTAGTTAGACTGAGAAAACTTCGGACTTTAATTACCGTTGTAGGCCTTTTCCAGTTTACTATTGCTTCTACTTTAACTGAATCTACTGATATCTCGTCCTTTAAAACTATATGTCCAAGGAAGGCAACCTCATTTAACCAAAACTCACACTTTTTAAACTTGGCATACAACTTCTTTTTCCTAAATATGCCAAGCACTATTGTCAAATACTCCGCATGTTCAGCCTCGCTCCATGAATAAATAAATCAGTATACCATCAATGAGAAAGATGACAAACATATCCAAGAATGGCTGGAAGACTCTGTTTATTAAATCCATAAATATTGCAAGAGCATTTGTTAGATTAAACGATATGATTAAGAATTCATAATGGCCATACTTGGTTCTGAAGGCAGTCTTGAGAATATCCTCTTTCCTAATTTTTAGTTGATGGTATCTAGAATATAGATCAATCTTTGAAAATACTTGCGCTCATTGAAGTTGGTCGAATAGATCATTGATATAAGGCAACGAATACTTATTCTTTACGGTAACTTGGTTTAGTTGCCTATAATCGATACAGAGTTGCATGGTACCATCCTTCTTCTTCACAAATAGTAATGGAGCTCCCTATGGTGATACACTTAGTCTTACGAAACCCTTATCCAATAATTCCTGTAATTATTTCTTGAGTTCCTTTAATTCAGCTTTTGCCATTCGATACGAAGCCTTAAAGATAGGACTCGTACAAGGAATTAAGTCAATGAAGAACTCGATCTCACGATCTACAGGTAAACTTTGAAGATCTTTTGAAAAAAACATCAAAAAATTCTTTCACAACTGGTATCTGTTGTAGATTGACTTCTCTACTTTTATTCTCCATTACGTAAGCCAATGAACATCCATTCTCAAGTAATCGTTGAGCTTGAATGCAAGATACGAGACATGGATGTTGGGGCTCCCTAATCCCTTTGAATTTGAAGGCTTGTCATTGGGAATATTAAAAGTCACTGTCTTTCCATGGCAATCTATATTGGCATGGCATGCTGCCACCTAATCCATTCCTAGTATGACGTTCATATCATGTATGTTTAGGAGTATGAGATCTACTGGTAACTCTTTGTTGGCAATCTCTACAATACATGCTTGGCATACTACACTAGTGGTCAAGTCTTTATTGGCTAGGGTAGAGACTATAATACATATTCTAAAGGTGACTATTCAATGTTCAGATGCTGAGAAAACTCATGTGACGCAACAGAGTGTATAGATCATGGGTCTATTAAAACTTTAGCCAATGTACTAGAGATAGTGAGCATACCTTGGATTACATCCTGAAAGAATTGAGCATCTCGCTCTGTAATGGCATACTCTCTTCCTTGAGTTATTAGTCTGGTATGCTCTTTATTGATGGGACACTCTTTGATATGATGTTGAGTACTACCACATCTGAAACATCCATTTATCAATTTGTAGTAGGGTCTGTTACCATAGTTCTTTCTACAATGGAGGAATATCTGTTCTGGCCCTTGTACTAGGACTAAGAGATCCATTTTCTGCCTTTTATCAGATTATTGTGGCTCATAAACCTTCATCTTATTGTTTGGTATGAATAGTCTATTATGAGACTGGGCTTGTAGCCTCTTCTGCAATCTGTAATTTGGGCTCGTTCTAGTACTTCTTGATAGTCATTAATTTTTAGAACGGAGATTTTATCCCAGATCTCTTTATGCAGACCTCTCTGAAACTTCCTGGCTTGTAGGCTTCCATCTGTTACTAAGTTGGGCGCAAACCGGGCCAGCTCTATAAACTTTTTCGTATATTCTCCCACCCTCATATTCTCTTGCTTTAATTCTAGGAACTCCATTTGCTTCTGTTCCCAAACAAAGTCAGGGAAATATTTCTCATAGAATACTGCTCCAAATGCTTCCTAAAGGATCAGTTTCCTCAGGGATCCCTTCTTCAAGTGCCACTAGTGTTCTGTAGCTCCCTTGAACATGAATGTTGCTAATTGTACCTTTTACTCTGAAGTGGGGTTGAGAATATCAAATATCTTCTCAAACTCCATGATCCACTATTCGGCTAATATCGGGTCGGTTGCTCTAACAAATGATGGTGGGCTTATTCTCTTAAATATTTCAATGAGTTTTCCATTATTTCCCTCCATCGGTTGGGTGTTACTAGTACTAACATTATTATCATTTATAGTACTTTGGCTATGGACCATGTGTTGAGTAAGTATCGTGGCTAAACCTTTGACTATGTGCATGAGTCTATCTAGACTCTCCTCAATTTAGTCTTTCGAAATTTGATGTGCCTACTCTCTCGGTATCCTTGCCATTTCCTGCATTCATGAAATTCAAATTTAGAGACATTTTCTTATGCTTTCCAACTCTATCTAAGTCTTATGTGACCCTAAGCCTCGTATTCAAGGGATGTTCTAAAATTGTGCTCTGATACCACTTGTCACATATCACACCCCGTCTTATAGGGTAATGATTGGAGCATAATTCCTTAAATCATATAAATTCGAGTAAAGTAAAATAACTTAACTTTATTAATAATAAAAGAGTTGTAAAAGTGTTACATTCCTTAAATATAAAACATAAATATATGTATGAGACTCTAAATTTTTACTTACATTACTAAATAAAAGTACAAAATAGTGACCTTAATATCAGAGTCTAGACTTTAGAAATTTTCTCTGTATCACTACTCACTCTGCAACGGTATTTTCAGTATTTAGAGGGTGATAGAAATATCTCAATAAGCAATATTATGAAATCACAGCATAGTACATGCAATATATAGTTTCTTTACACACAACAAAACATATATCACATAATTTTTTAAAACAAATACAAATAAGAAGATGAAAGCACAAATCAGAAAATAGATTCATGTTGTATACTTCATCACTATTATGGAGGATCAATAAGTTATCATACATTATGCGTAGGCACAGATACTTATCATTGGTTTTCCATGTACCCAAATACGGAACGACATACATGAGTACCTTGAAACATTGCTACCTCCCGAACACGGAACGGTTAGGGTACGTAGATCAGATTGTTTTTTCATACACCTGAACACGGAATAGTTATGTACGGCCAGATTGAAGTCTAGCATAATGCAAATGCTTTCGAAATAATTTTCTTTCCATAATGAGTGATGCGCACATATCAAAATCACATTTCAAAAATAAAAAGCAAAATAACACTTATATCGAAGTAAAACTTTAACAAATACTTAACAAATATATAAGATAAATTAAACATGTGCACATTTTTATACTGAAAATACATAAAATATCTCAAAACTATGTAGGTTATGAATCCATAATATCCACTTATCTTAGGTCCTTAACAGTCGTAGTTTTAATTATGGCAGAGTTCCGACTTTATTTATAATTTTTTCTTCTAAAAAATTCGCAGAATTTTAGGATAATTTTTTGTCACTTTCTTGACTAAAAAATATCCAATAAAATACTCAAAAACTAATCTCAAAAATCAAAGAGAAACTGAACTTCAAAACTTGATCCTTATTCTTCTTCTCTTCTTCTTTTTTTGCTCTCACAAATTTAGCAGAGTTTTCTCAAGATTTTTATCTAAAACCTGAAAATACTCTCAAATATTACACACTTCGTACTCCTTCTTTCTTCACCTCTATGTTTTTCATTATTTTTCTCTCACTCAGAATGTCTCTTCCTCCCTTCTCCTATCATTTATTTATAGGAGTGGGGAGCCATGAGGGAAAGGTTGTCACCATTTCATCATACTATTTTATCTAAAAATTGTCACATTTTATCATGTTACTTTACTTAAAAAGTTACAACTTTTTACATGTTGTTTTATCTAAAATGTCTTTTCACATGCCACTTTATCTAAAAGATTATCACTTTTGACATGCCACTTCATTTAAAAGTTGCGACTTTCTGTGATGTTATTTTATGTAAAAGTTATTACTTTTCATATGTCATTTTATCTAAAAGTTATCATTTTTCATTATATTATTTTATCTAATACTTTATGTAAAAGTTACTACTTTTCATATGTCATTTTATCTAAAAGTTATCATTTTTCATTATATTATTTTATCTAATAGTTACTACTTTTCATTATACCACTTCATTTAAAAAGTTCTCATATTTTCCTATATCTCGTCATGCTTATTCTAGTTCATTCATCCTTATTTATCATTTTTTTATTTAATTCTAAAATATGTACTTAATCTTATTATATATTTTTAAATATATATAAAATTAAATTAAATATATCGAATATAATAAATTAACTCCAAATTATTTTCAAGTTATTACATTCTTCTTCACTGAACATTCTTATTATGATCATAAATTTTGAAACAATATATAATATCATTCATAAATCATTTAGAGACCACCTTCAAATCGTGGCCTAAGTGTATGAATAAATTTTTATAGTTATTTTTAATATAAATTTAGATGTTGGGAAAAAAAAAATTATGAATTTATATTTCTCCTTTAAAGGCATTAAATTTTGAAAGAATAATAATAAAAGATAAAAAATTGCTAAAAAGTAAAGAAGATTTTTCTTATTCTTGACATTAATTATATTATAAGAAATACACTTGTTTTCTGCTTTCAACTTTTTAATTCCAGAGCTAACATGGTTGAAGATTGTCTTCCCCATTTAGCTGCAACCCCCTGGAGCAAACCCTATCCTTCCTTTCCCCACATCATATACCACCTCCAATGTCTGCTGCTGCACATTCCCAAATATTCCCACGCTGCCATCGTCACTATTCCCTGCAAACGCCAGACACACCTGTGACAACCCACTACCGTACAAGATCCCCACCGATCCAATCTCCACCTCGACGCCGCCGCTGAAGAAGAAACTGATCTTTGGCACCGTAATTGTTTTGTATCCACTAAAATCATAGCACGTATCAAGAATTGAAAGCGCTGGCGCTGTTGGGTACGCTTTCATTCTCTGCCTGAACGCATTTCGCAAGGCTGCGTAGGCCGTCGATGGCAGCCGCGTGATCACCGTCCCTGAATCGATAATGGTTCCCCCCGACGAGAAAACTGAAGTTGGGATTGAGAGCTTTTGACCGCCGACGCTGATCGCTGTAAAGTCCAGGCCGTAGAAAGAGGAGCGGGAGAAAGTAGAGATTGGGGTGAATTTCAGAGAGCGGGAGAGGGTAGATCCAGCACCGAATGTGAGGTGGCCAGTTGAGGAAGAAGATGATGGAAGACAGTAAGAAAAGATTTTATTGTATTTAGCTGCAGTTTGTGAAGGTAAGGAAAGAGGATCACGGCCGAGGCCTATGAGACCGGCGGATCCACCGAAGAGACCCTGGTTATTCTGTCCACAACCAAAGAGGAAGCCATTGAAAACATCTCTGGGTGTTAAGGTTAACTTTTCCTTCCCAAAGAAGCCGACGGAGAAGGAGCTGTCTCCGTATTGAATCCCGTAGATGCAGGTTGAGGAGGAGCAGCCTGGGCTATTTCCTGCATTACATTGTATAAATTAATATTTTCATGGCAGCCATAAACACTGTAAAAAAATGAGGCTGATAGAACCAAACAAAAATCGGATTCCTGGAAAAGAGATTCTATAAGGACTTTTATCGAACATCTTGTATGCAGAAAAAGTGACCTGAAAAGGGAAATTACATCCAACTAAAACCACCCTTAAATAGACAAATTTTCAATTACTAATCATAGAAAATTAATCCACTAACTTAATTAACTAGTTCTAAGACAATAAATTACCCACTAACAATCAATTAATTAACTAGTTCCAAGATAATAAATTATTTTATTAGCAACTAAATACGAGATAATAATTTTCTACATGAACTCTAACAAATACGAGAAACAAAAAAAAAATGAAGAAAGAAAGAAAGATACCAGTTCCGGATGCGAGAGAAGAGCATAAATCGGAAGAACATGAAATGTTGGAATAAGAAGAAGAAAGTGATGGATCAAAAATTGGATCCTTCTGGTTATAGCAAGATCTGATGCAAGGTTTACATTGAGTCCAGGTTAGATCGCTTCCAGTGTCGAAAATGAGGGATAAATATTTAGCCGGAGTTCCAAACCCGACGGAGACTATGTAGTTACCGGAGCCGACGCTGCTACCATCTTTTGCCGGGAGGTTAGCTGAATCTGGTTGGGAATTGATGGATAGCTTAGAGTTAATCCAGTTGACCCGAGCTTCATCTCGACGGAGAACGTCGGATACTGTTGGAGCATCTCCGGGGAGATTAGTGCATGGGCCGTGCCTGTGCACTACTTCCAGCGACGATTCCCTCTTTAAACCTGAATCAAATTTTTTCGTATTTTGGAAATAATCAAATTAATAAATTTAAAATTTTATTTTTACATTTTAATGAAATTTACAAAAATGAAATTTCAGAATTTATATACTGTATAATGAGATAAGAAAATGTAAATTCAATTAAGTAATATACAAATTATAACATAATATAAATAATTTTAAAATGAAATACACGTTAAACACAAAATTTTATATACAGAAAGAACCATACTAATTATTAACTTAAGCAATTGATAAAGGTATTAATATTACAGAATAAATTGAAGCTTAGGCAATACATACTTTAATTTTGGTATTTATAACTTCGAAACTTTCTTTGTGGGTCTACATTAAGAAAGGAATATAATTGAAAAGACTGAAATTACACACACACACACACACACATATATATATATATATATAAGTAAACTTGTATCAACATTAGTCCATCCATATTTAATTAATAAAAATATAAGACTCGATATTCTATATGTATATATTTGGGAAATATACATCTAATAAATAATAATAATGATAAATACTAAGTTTTTTTAGGAGATAGGGAAATAATTCACATATTTTTTTAATGAAGGAACAATTCATATCGTTTAATGAGAAAAGAAAAATATATTATAATATATTTGAAATGGATTTAGACGACGTTTTCAGTACATATGTACAAAGGTTTAATTTCAATAATATTTACTCCTATGATATATATATATATATATGGAACATGACAATAATTATGTTCTTAAGCAATTAGTGATGAATCCGCATTTTGTTGAAAAAAAAAAGACATTAAATAATATATACTTTTTTGTTTTTTGGAGTGGCGTCAGAATGATTGGAGATTGAAAAATTGTGGAGATTGATTGACCAAAATTTCATTTTTATATTGTAATTGCCTTCTGCCTGTCACGCACTCACCCACCCACTATTGAATAATATTTTAGTAGCCATCAATACAGACTTTTTGGACTGAACCATAATATTATATATATATATATATATATATATATATAAGAATCCTACCATAAAATAGTAAATTAAATAATCCCAACCCAATAAATATATCATAATTTTATATCCATGTTACTTTCTTTATTTTTAATTATTTTCAGGAGTATAGTTCATAGTATAAATATGATATATAAAATCACAATGATTAATATTGGTCGGAGTTTTGATTTCTTATTTTTTTTTTTCTATTATCCTGAGTATAATTGAAACATGATATTAAAATCCCAATAATTGGTAAGGCAATATATATATATATATATATAAATAATATTCCAGAATTATTATACACAGTTCTAAATTTTACATGAATTTTAAAAGTTATATATAGTTAATTTATTAACTCATGAAAACACGTGCTGTTTTTTATCTAAATGAGTCTAACATTAACGTATGAATTTTGCTATACTGAACACAGAAATTTAGGTATAAGTAGGTGCTTATACCTAAACAAATCTCATACAGTCTATATAGGAAATAACATATAAAAAGTAAAATGTCAAGAGTAATTAATTTTCGTAGTTATTTATAGATAAAAAATGGGTATGAGCATCTGATATGGCAAAACCTAACCTGATGAAGGTAATTAAATTTCGTCTGTATATATATATATATATGGAGATTATAATTGGGAAGCTATCAAGAAATGAAAGAGAGAAATCAATAGTAAAATGGAGAGAGAGTTAAGAAGTGATGATACGTATAAGAAAATGACCTTTGGTAGAATGGGTGCAAACAGGTTTTGAGAAGAGCGAGTCGACCTGAATGGTGTATGCATAGTCGTCGACTTGGAGCGGTGCATGTTGGTCGGCCTGGCAGGCCCGGTTGAGTAGCCAGCAGAAGAAGATGCAGAGCCATACAAAACTCTTCATTATCTCTCTCTCTCTCTCTCTCGCTCTCTTTCTTTCCCACCACATCACTTATAAAATTTAGATTCACACCCTGCTTATATATATATATATATGTTGGGGAAATACGAAATTACAAATACTTAAACGTCACCCATACGCCAGTTTCCGATTGTCATGAGATTTTTTCTGTTTTTTTTTTTTTTTTCTTTTGCTAGCTTAATGCTAATTTTTTAAAATGAAGTAAACGATTTGAAAGACGTCGTCTACATCCATATCCTCCAAAATGATTATAATTAAAATGTGTTTACTTCATTTCTAATTAATTTTTTGTCACATATCTAAACTAGAAATAATAATAGTAATAATAATAATAAATAAACTAGTTAATTAAAAGGCACGAAATTTAGATGAAAAGCAAGTCTATACTAAAACAAATAGAATAAGCTCTCGTTCAATTCGTGCAAATGTTTATACTTTATTTTTTATTTTTTATTTTTGTATAGGTAGAAGGCAGTAAGTGTATATATATATATATATATATATATATATATATATACATATTGTAACATGCATGATTTATGATAAATTTCGTAAAATTTTAATTAATAAAGAAATTTTTATTTTAGACTAACAAGTAAAGTCATTAAAGACATTGAATTAAAATAATTGGCCAATTATATTGAATTTTATGGAGTAAGAGAATTGGAATTCTGGTCCTACATGCAGTTTGAAGCACCAAACCAATTAGATAAGATCCCACTTGTTTCTGAAACAACCCTTTGAAAAGAAATTTAAATTAAAAATAATAATCTCATTTCGTTTTCAATCAGATCATGTTTACTTGTATAAATTAAGGATTTAGTTTGGAAAATGGTTTAAAAAAATTATTAAAAGGTACCAGAATCAGAATTATGGCTGGTAAAAAAATATTTCAATGAGGATAGAAAAATTAATATACATGTGTGTGTGTGTGAAAGATTAATATTGTATTATTGGGTGCGTTGATGCTCCATCAGCAACAGCGCTTCTAATAATTATAGATAAGAAAGCTCTACTGAACCAAACCCAAATTAAAATTATAATCATCTCACTATAAAAGTTTCTTTTTCTATTTTTTAATTAAAACCATGACATATATCTTTCATTATGAATTAAAAAAATTAGAGACATTTATTTATATTTCATACCATTACGTATAACATAACTACTTTAAAAAAAAAAAAAATTATTATGATATTTTCTACTTGTTTTTGAATTATTTATTCATGCTTATAATTTTTCTCATTTCTTCTTTATACCTTTACCTTGGGGCTTTCTCTACAGCATGAACTAAATTTGTATTTTTTTTTTTAATTTTAGAGTTATATGGGTTTTATACTAAATATATATTTGAATATTAAATTTAACATAATTTATATCATCATCATAAATATAATACCTGGACCCAAAAAATTAGCTCGGGATAAATTTTGTTAATTTGGAGATGTATAAAAAAATATATATTTTATAAATTAAATTTAATTTTTATTATATTTGGGAGAAAAATAAATTAGGGATGAGATTGAAAATAATTTTTGTAAAAAATAGTAAAAATTTGGGTTATGAGTGTGTTTTTGAAAGAAAATTTGGAAACAGTGAGTCAAAGTGGAAATAAAAAAAATTTAGCCACGTAGGACCGCCCAGTCAGCAGTCTCGACGAACCGGAGCGGCCCGCTTGGAAAGGTACACTGACTCAGTGCCACGCAGGAGGCCACGCTGGTGATCCGCGTGTCCCGCGATCGGATGGCCCAAGAGCGATCTCGCACGCGTGGATGGTGCGAATCTATTTTTTCCTCAAGTGTGATCGAACGGTTGAGATCAAATACAATAAACGACCCATATTCATTTCTTCCATATGTGTAATCGGACGGACGAGATCAATCACGATGGATGGCCCAGATTAATGTCGGATGAGTATAAATATTTCGCATTACATTGAACCCAAACCCTAGCCGACAGCCCTCCTTCGGAGAAGAAGAACCAGACGCCAAAGAAGGGAAGCGACTGCGACCACTGTTGCACCAAAGCCACCTCCGACCGCTAAAATAAGTAAAAAATTTTCTATCCGCTCGGAATTCGATTCTGAGCATGGCTATATCGGAGCAAAACGAATGGCTGATGAGTCAAAAACTACAGGAAAAGCTCAGTGGAGCCACTGCGGACAAAACCTACAACCTCCTCTGATGAATCACTTCTCGTTTCTCGTTTCGTGCGATTTTTTTACCATTGTGTTCACCGTTCTATTTTCTGTAGGTTGACCAAAGAAGGAATCCTAGCCGTGAAGGTAAGCCAGTGGAGCTGCCGCACCTGAAAACTTCACAATCGGTAAGGTTTCTGTTTTCTGATTTTTTCGATCAACTGATGCCCCATAACGTGTTTTTTCGCAATGATACGTATAAAGTCAACCAAAACCGACCAAAACGGGCCAAAAATGGCTAGGCTGAGGCAAACTGCCGCCGTGGATAGTGGTGTCGTTGCTGGAGCACGGCGGTGGTGCTGTCCCCAGAGCACGGTGGTGCCGCCATGCCGGAATTCTAAAATTTGTCGAAAAAGATTTTTAACACCGATTTTAAGTTTTTGAGGTATTTTGAAGTACGTGAAGCGTGTTTAATCTCTATAAAAAATTTAGAAAATTCGAGGACCGCCAGTATGCATAGTAGAAAGCTCAGTGTTTCAGACACCGATTTGGGTAAAAATCCCTCACCCTATTTTCTGTTATGGAATTAAAGCTTAATAATCAATAAATAGTATTTTGTGAAATTTAAAAAATTTAAGAATAATTACAGTTCACTAATGGAGGCGGAACCAGTTAGTTATTTATTTATTATGTTTAAACTGATTATTTAATTTTACAACTTCAAATACATGATAATATATTAGAATGGTTAAATGATTCAGTTGTGTTTTCTTAAATGCATGTATCACTTGTCTTGCGTGATTTACGGTTGATTTGTGTAATATAAAAATTAATATACAAAATGAGAAATTGTTTGATTATGTGAATTAATAAGTGATTGTCTTTACTGGATATCCTGAGAGATGGTGGACGGACCGATTACATAGGAAACCCTACCGTGAATGTTACCTCATATCAGATGGGGTATCAATGGATGGTACTTTTGGCGCTCATACCAGACGGGGTATGGGGACAGTCCGATTCACCCTCATGTCGGATGAGGTATCGAAGGATGATATTTTTAACGCTCATACCAGATGGGGTATGGGGACGACTGGTTAGTTGACAAGTTTAAATATTGGGTTCACGCGTAGTGGAACATTCCTATAGACCCCTAGAGACACCAATAAGCAGATAAAAAGGAAAATTTTTGTTTTTACTCACTTGTTTGTGAAATCATAATGTTATTTGAGTTATTGTCTTTATAGATCGATTTTAGAAATTTTGTAATGGTAAGTATGTAATAAATGATTTTTCTTATAATAAATGAACTTACTTAAAAGAGCTCCATTAATCATTTTATGTTTTATGATTTTTACCAACCTTCAGTTTTCGTATCGTTGAATAGTGTGATATTCTTATTGGACTAGTGTACCTCATCCCCTCCCCTATTAACCATTTCAGATCAAGAAGATCAAGATCCAGATCAGCAGGAGGACTGTGAGTAGGTGTCCCCTTGGATCCTATCAACAGCTAGTGGAGATTAATCTCCCTATAACATTTATTTACTATTTTAATATGTTTATTACGTTTTTTTTATGAACTGCTATGAAAGAAACATTTTCATAGCCCTATTAGACATGTTAAATTACGTATAAGGAATGTAACCCTAACGTTATTATACGCTTCCACATTTAAATTATAAATTTATGTTACCCAAGGTTCTGGGTTGCTACAGTTGGTATCAGAGCTGCATTCCTCATAATCATTCCATACACAAAGACTTAAAAACACTCAATATAAACTATCTCTTAACCTTCTGTTGTGAAAAATAAGTACAAATATATGAGAAGAGGAGGACCCTTACTGAATAGGGCAGCCCGGGATGGGTCGCTTTGAGAGAATGTCAATCAGCTCTTCGAGATATTGGAAAGACTCATCTCTGCCCAATAGGCTAGGGAAGAGAGAAGGGAGTTGTATGACTCTCCACCACTGTCACAGTGTGAGCCACCCCTCCAACGAGAGGATTCAGTGCCATCTCAATACAACATTATCCCACCACTATATCATCCGACACTATCACAGTATAATTCAGTGCCTCCACCGTATCATCTGGTATCGCCACTGTATAATCTGGTGCCTCCACCACATAATCCTGCACCACCATAGTACAATCTGGTGCCTCTACTGTATCATCCAGCACCATTACAGGGTCACCCGGTCCCTCCCTAACATAATCCTATTCCTCTTTAATAGGACTTGCAAGCACTGTGACAAGCATCATGGGGACCGATCCTACTATCACCTCAACAACACCAGCTGCATTTGCGGAAGTGCCTAACATTACGTGCGAGAGTGTCTGCGGAATCAAAAATCAGGCCAGACCTCCAATCTATGGCATAGTTTATACCCTCACCCAACAGGATACTGAAGCCAACCTGGACGTTATATAAGGAAAGCGTAAGAAAGCAATTTGCATTCAAGAGATTTCTATGGGTCGAGATTCTCCGAACGTGTTCCCTGATGAAATATCAGGACTGCCAGTGAATAGGGAGGTTAAATTTACCATAGATCTTCAACCCAACACCCAGCCAATCTTAGTTGCCCCTTGAGTTGGGTTGAGATGGAAGAACTGAGAAAACAGATCAATGAATTGCAAAATAGTAGATTCATCCGATATAGTGTGTCCCCTAGGGTGTTGAAGTCGCATTTGTAAGGAAAAGGGATGGGACGTTACGATTGTGTATTAACTACAGAGGATTAAGTAGAGTCACGATCAAGAACAAGTACTCCCTCCCTAGAATTGATGATATTTTTGATCAGTTGCAGGGTACCCAGATCTTCTCCAAAATAGATTTGCGTTCAGATTACCACAAGGTAAAGATCAGGGTAAAGGACATTTCCAAGATAGCTTTCAAAACCAGGTACGG